CATGGAGAAGAGCGCGGCGGCGGTTCGGGCAGGGCCGGGGGAGGCTCCGAGCGTGTTTCATCTTCGGGCACCGACAGGATCCAACTGCCCGAGCTCCGCCGGCCCGGCTGGGACCCCCGCCCCGGGCCCTCTGCCCCCGCGGACACGGTGCTGCGGCAGCCCCGGAGCTCTCAGTGCGGTACAGACTCCCGGCACCAGTCCCGGCGCTGAGCTCCGCGCTGACGAGATGCTGGGACAGGCGCACACCCACTGTCACTCCAGTTCCAGTTAAGCCGCCTGGGAGTTCTCTCTGGCTGTGAACTGGTTCTCCCATCACACAGCATTTCACATGTCAGTGACTCACTGCTGGAGCCTCACGTATCAGCGCTACCTTCGGGGGGATTTCTCATGCGTGGACGTGATTACACAAAACGGAGGCTTGGTTGATAAAAGGTCAGTAAGTGATTTATAGGCCGTAGGAGTACATTACAATGCAAAGGTGTTACTAGCATATCAGAAACAAGTTAGAGGTAACTTTTTTACTCACTTGACTCTTACCGGGTTTGAAGAGCTGATCAAACATTCACATGCACCCATCACTCCATCTTTAACATCTATTTAGAAATACTTTAGTGAAAAACTTACAGGTATGCTTGGGCAAGGTGAGGGCACTCTGTAGAAACCCCTTCCTCCCCAATGCACTCACAAATCCCATCTCCTTATTCACACTTCTTGAGTAAGTCTCAGTACTACTACCTGCACAGTGCAGATGGGGAAACTGAGGCACGTAGAAACACGGCCACTAGGCAGGTTGATTAGAGAGCCAAGAGCACGTACAGCATCAGTGGGATGCACAAGCCACCAGATCTGCTCTCTACCATCTTAATTTTTGCCATTACCGCTTCCATTTCTTCTCTGAGAAGAAAACCAGTATAAAGCACCACTGCAGCAGAACTGAGCAAAGGCCATTAATGCTGCAAGTTCTAGGTGCAGGGCAGACAATTATCTCAAATCTTTCTGCAAATCTCTGTTCACAGGCACAGAATGCTCCTGCATCAATCTGCCACTGCCTCATCCTGCTGTAGCCTGGCCTAACCAAGCAGTCTCTGAGATTTATTTATTTCCACCCAGCAGGGAGATAAACGGTACAAAAACACACACAAAAAGTTGTGTAAACCAGCAGGCAAATCCTGTGCTGAGCCCAGGCTGCTGCAGCCAGAGCAGGAGCATAGCTGGTGTGCATATGCCTTACTGAGCTGCTGCGATTCACACATCACCATGGGCCAAGGCTGGTGGGACGTGCCACGGAGGGCAAAGCCGCCTTCCACGGGGACACACGGTTGGGTTTAAGGTTTTCTATCAGAGGCATTAGGATGGGGCTGTTCCATAGCTGAACTTCTACAAAGAAACCAGAGCAACACTGCAGGTCCTCAGGTACGAGGACCAAGACGATCCTTTACTGTCCAAAAGCTCCCTAGACTGGTCAAATGCCTATCAACTGCATCAGCACTGGCAATAACCCAGTGTCTTGCAGAGAGGTTGCTATCTACAGAAACCATCTGTGGTTCCTGAGTCACAGCAGTTAAAGTGCAAAAATAACAGGTTGAGTGCACAACGCTATTCTGCTGGGAAGTTCTGAGCAGCACAGTAGGCCCAGATCCGTGCACAGGAATTAAAAAGTAGTTTAATATAAAAATAGAGCTTTAAGAATACCAAAACAATCTGACAAGGCTCGTGCCTCTGAAAGAGCTAGCACATTTAAGAACTGCATTTTTCAGGAAATATTTCAGTTGGAGAACTTCAGGAAAACAATTTTTCAAAGCCTGAAATAATTCACGTACATGCAGTAACAACACAGGAGAAAGGGAGGAAGATTTTCTAGTATGCACTTCAGTGTGCAAGATTATCATTCCAGTGTATTACAGTTCATTTTGCACATGACAGTTCTCTCTCAGCGAAAGCACACTTGCAGCAGCATTATTTTCATCTTTATGCCAAAGATTCATACAAAATTATTATTCTCAAGTCTCAAAAACTGAAGAGGGGATTCTGGAGTGTGACTGAACTGAGATTAATTCTGCATCTGCAGAGTGCCACATCCACACAGTCTCACTAAAAAAAAAAAAATAAGTCAGTAGAAATTCTTGCATGTTGTAAGGATTCTAGTCTGTTTATCATTTTTTGCTGACTTGGTATTTCAGACTACTTAAAAAATCCATTTTAATTTTCTTAATATTTTTTAAGATAAAATTTATACTCTCATTTCTCTTGCCATTCTGCAAGTGGTTTTATCTCAAAATGGCTATTCAGTATTGAAAAGCACCTAGAATAATGTAATTCCAAGTTCCAATAGCATCATGTTTTCAAACTAGTTGCATCTCTCCTCTTCTGTATATGCCTGCTATTCCCATTGTTTATGTCCACTCAGCATATGAGATACAAGACTGAATCATTCCTGGCACTAAAACCACGCAATCCGCTGAGACGCTGGTACCTGTAGTTCAGCATGTCTTTCTTGCAAAGTCCCTTAGGAAAGGTAGTATGTAAATCTGCAATGGACATGGCTGATATCAGTTTTCAAGAGCTGATTTCCTTGGCTCAAAATTTTCCCTTCGGAAGAGCTTTAATTCTCTCAGTTCTTGTGGCTGTAAACTCTGGTCCACGCCAGGAGTTAGCTTGTAATTTAAAGGAGATTCAATATAACCGTTTCTGTACAGACAGACCCGCTTGCAGAATTCAAAGGTGCTAAACATCACACCGAAGTATGGGACAATCTGATTGAAAAAAAAAAAGGCAACATAAGATTAAAAAACCCACCAATATTAAACTCTCTAGTAGCATTCTTAGCTTAGATGTTTTAAAAAAGGAAACTTCTAGGACTTCAGATCTGATCTGCTAATAGAGTTGTGCTCATTTATATAAAATCAGTCTCACCTCCAACTAGGCTGGCACCTGCAGCATGCTAGAAGTAGTTTATTATTGGTACTTAACTAATTATAACAATATTGTGAGGAACAAGGTCTGTGCTAGCCTATAGATTACCACAACTTGTCAAATACCTAAGCAGAGTGACTGAACAATTTTCTTCCTTTGCCCCATGCAGAATCTGGTGCCATGTGGCTTTACACCAGCCAGGGCAGGGCCAGGCACAGACAGGCCATCACAATCAATCACACTGTCACTCAATTACCATTCATTAGCTGACCTGTAGTACTACATGTAGGTAACCCTCACCACAGCACTACAAAATGTATTTATGTAAACTGAGTTACCTTCTGTTCAAGCTACCATGCTTTATTTCATGCCTTCAATGCAGCAAGGGCTGTTGTAACCCATAGGCATGCATTAGATAGGTGGCTGAAAATACTATTTTTGACTTAAGTGGCTTATACAAGTGCAATTTTCTTTACAGCTCCTCAGTACAACATGTCACAATATTGGAGCTCAGCTGAGAAGTAGAACTTGTTTAGCTGTTGTAAGTGGATCACTTGCAATCCCCCATCCATACCCTGGCTGGTGTGTCAGTAGCACTCCCTTCTCTAAGGACATTCAAATGAACTTGAAAGTAGTGACATCTAGAAGCCAAGCTTATGTTTGGGGAAATATGACCAAACCAAGTTCCAAGGCTGGTTTATAACCTGTTCTGTCACAGACTCTGTCATCCAAATAAGCCAGAAGCTTTATAACCCTAACTATGCAAAAGTGTGTCCTGATTACTTCAGGATAGTCTTTGGGATGAAAGCAAAACCTCACCTTGAGCAGACTGGGTGTGAGTCCACTCCAAAGTCCAAGCAGACCTTTGCTCTTCACAGTTTGCCGGAAACAGTCAACCATGCCAGTAAAATGGACATCAACTGCTCCATAGTGGGGAAGCCAAGGACTCTGTGCCTGTTCAAGAGACACCCAGGGGGATTTAGAACAAGCAAAGAAAAACCAAAGTAATTAAAGATAATTATTTTCTCCATTCTGGTACACAAGGAACACTTAACGCCAGGTGTCAACAGACTGATCTTGATTCTTCCATCAGCCCAAAACAATCAGCTATTTTGCCTTGAAATACAAACTACAAAGGGAGGGAATTCACTCTCTGATAGTAAGGAAGAGAGCAGTAATTTCACACAGCACTTCCTTTTGTGCTATGTCACTACTAGAAATAAATGCCACCCTCATGAAGACAAACCATCCAAACCAGAGCTGCATAATGCATCAGCCCCATGTCTGCCAGCTGCTCGGGTCTGGGGAGAGGTATTTCACATCACTGGCAGTGGAGCACCGATGAGAGGGAAGCTTGGGGCTGTCCCCAGATGCCACACTGCCTTCCTGTAATTGTGATCAAACAGAAGAGCGTGCTGACTTCCCTCTGGCTGCTGAGGCTGTGTCCACACTGCAGTGACAAGGGTGAACTGTACTATGGCTTGAGTAGCAGCAGCACAGCAGAAACAAAAGAACAGAGATTTCAGCCCAGGCTGTGCAAGCCCACCAAGGGCTGCAGGTGAGCAGTTGGTGCTTGTGCTTCCCTATCTTTGTCAGTTGATCCGGAATGGTTAGTTAGCTTGGGAGCATCCTGCTGGACTGCAGCTACATTTCCAACTGCAGTATAGACAGTGTCTGTTCACATGGAAGAAACACAGTGGGTCATTTTTAACAGCAAAATCCTTCCTTCATTAATCTCCTACTGCCTTAGCACAGACAGGATAACCTGACCTTCAATAATCCCATCCTCATCCATCTGTGCACATGCAGCCAAGGGTTTGTTTTGCGTCGGCAAATCAGGGTTTCACTCAAACACATGGCAAGTGACACTTCTCAGTCAGAAGCGCGTGGGGACCCCAGGACACAGGTTGGTAACTTGCATGTGCAAGCTGATCACCACAGGGCAGAAGTTTGATAAAAATGAGACATGTACAGTTAATTGATTGGTGAATGTGGGTATCATTAGCTCTCCATTGATCTGAAACAGCATGTGGTGTAGCATTTTTCCCCTCCTTGGCCAGACCAACCTACAGCTTCTCAGACCTGCTAAGCCTATGACAAGCCTCTCATAAACCGACAAGTGGTGATGACATTTCCTAGATGCCCCAGCTATAGCATTTCAAATGCTTGGCAGCTTAGATGCTGGAAATGGAAACAGATCAAAAACTCATGCTCTAGGTATGTAAGAGAAGTTGCTAATCAAATAGGTTTAATGCTGTTGCATCCCTTTGTATTACTGGCAAGTCTGCTGCTAAAATTTAGAAGCTAACAAAAAACCCCTAATCAACCCACACACTAACTGCACAGTCATCTTTATCTACAAAAAAATCACATCTCAGGATTTTTTCCTCACTTTTTCTATGTATGATTGAAATGCATGTGAAATACTTCTGATGGCAGGTAACAGGTAAAACCATATAGTCTCCTTTTGACAGGGCTTTAGGAGGTGGGAAAGCAGCTGTCTGCACTGAGAAAAAAGGCAACAGGTTTCCACCACACCCTGATTTGTTATTTTCTAGATCCCCTTTATCATGCCCTGTCTCTTTTATCCCAAACAATAGTAGGGCTGAGGATTTAATCCATGGTCTTTTACACTTTAAGGAGAAAAGAAGAATTTGTTTCTCTCTGAACTTTCTCAACAGTGCACCTGATTTGTAAGAGAGGGGTCACATTTGTTGGGGGAGAAAATATTTAACTGTTATAACTGACCGTCCCCTTTGTGTCTATTGGCCTTGCTAACTTCATGGGGCTCCAGCTTTTCCATAATTCCTAACTCCGGTGCAAGCTCCCACAGCTTCCTGTTTTAGGACTCAGAGAGGCAGGTCTTGTGGGATTTAACTGCTGTGATTTTACAGTATTACCAGCCCTGCCTTGCAAGATAATGGAGCTAGTCTGGTAGTCAAGGGTCGTGCGTATGTTCACTTAGGCTTGTTTGCTACAAGGAAGCTCAGTTGTCTGCTTGGCTCTGTTACTTAAGGGGTGTAAGGGTTTAAAAAGCAATAGCTAAATCCAACAGTGAGAAAGAGAGAAATGTCTTTTCAAGCCTTAATCCACAGTACTTGGGCAACTCCTGCACAAAGACTCTCATGACTGTACTGTAGAAGATGCTGAGTGCTACAACTGAGACTTCAAGGACCAGTTCCACTAAGAATGGTGATATTAGCACCAGGGATGCTTAGAAGAGCACTTAAATGATATAAGTACCCTTAAAAATGCCAACAGCAGTCCTAGAAAAGCTGGATTCAAAACCCTGCTCTGCTCTCTGGACTGTCAGTAAATTTTTACAAGTTTTTTTGGTAAAGGAAGTTATAGGCAGCCAAGCACTGAAGAGGGACAGCTTTCCAAAATGCTTCAGGA